AGGAGGACGACGAGGAGGAGGGGAGGAGGGGAGAGGAGGAGGAGAGGAGGAGGAGGAGGAGGAGGAGGAGGAGGAGGAGGAGAGAGGAGGAGGAGGAGTAGGAGGAGGAGGAGGGGGAGGAGGAAGGGAGGGGGGAGGGGGGAGGGGGATGAGGAGGAGGAGGAGCGAAGAGAGGAGAGGAGGAGGAGGAGGGGAGGAGGAGGAGGAAGAGGAGGAGGTGGAGGCGGAGTTTGAGGAGGAGGAAGGAGGAGGAGGAGGAGCACGAGCAGGAGCAGGGAGGAGCAGGAGCAGGAGGCAAGGAGGAGGAGCAGGACAGGAGCAGCGAGCAGACGCAGGAGCAGGAGCACGAAACAGGAGCAGGAGCAGGAGGAGGAGGAGGAGGAGGAGGAGGAGGAGGAGGAGGCGGAGGAGGAGGAAGGAGGGAGGAGGAGGAGGAGGAGGAGGGGGGAGGGGGAGGGGGAGGGGGATAGGAGGATGAGAGGTAAGAGGAGGAGGAGGAGGAGGAGGAGGAGGAAGGAGGGAGAGAGGAGGAGAGGAGCAGGAGCAGGAACAGGAGCTGAGCTGGAGCTGGAGCAGAAGGCGGAGGAGGAGGAGGAGGAGGGGGAGGAGGAGGAGGAGGAGGAAGAAGAAGACGAAGACGAAGAAGAAGGAGGAGGAGGAGGACAGATGAGGAGGCGGAGGCGGAGGCGGAGGCGGAGGCGGAGGCGGAGGCGAAGGGGGAGGCGGAGGCGGTGGTGGAGGCGGAGGCGGAGGCGGAGGCGGAGGCGGAAACGGAGGCGGAGGCGGAGGCGGAGGCGGAGGCAGAGGCGGAGGCGGAGAGGAGGAGGAGGAGGATGAGGAGGAGAAGGAGGAGGAGGAGGAGGAGGAGGAGGAGGACAGATGAGGAGGACGGGTCGCCGAAGCCCTTCGGAGAGACGCTCCAGGCGGGGCGCCATGCGCGAGCCGATTCGCCAACCCTCTCCCTTGACTACCCTTGAGTATTTCAAAGTAGTAGAAAAATAATGTGGAGACATTTTTTGGTATTTTGGGACATCTTGCGAGTATTTTTGATTTTTCGTCCAATATCCCCTGTAGGGGGACAGGCCCGACCTAAGACTACCCCCCCTTCCTTCCGTCCGGCCCGAGCCTCCTCGCGCGCCGTGGGAGGCTCTCGGCGGCAGGCTCCTTGCGGCACGCGGCGTGCCCCCGCGCTGCTGCGGGGGGGCGTCCGGTGCCCTCCTCGCGAAATGCTGCCGCCTCGGGCGGCGTCGCACTCTCAGCTCGTCGCTGCTGACAGCCTCGCAGCACCCCCAGGAGACCTTTTCTTTGAATCGGCGACAACCCGGGTTATCCCGGGGGGGGGGAGGAGGGGGCTGGCCGATAACCTAACCTTCGCGCTGCGGGCAGCCCTGCATATGTCCGTGCCCCCCCTTCCGCGGACCTGCACATACGGCAAGGTTAGGTTACCCTGGGGGGGGGAGGGGGGGCCAGTCCGATAACCCGGGTTGTCGCCCGATCCTAAACCAAAACAGATTCCAGGCGGTTGTCGCGTGCTGCCTGGCTCTCCCGCAGGGTCGCCCCAGAGGGTCCTTCCAAACGCAGCTCGGGACGAGCAGCGCTGGCCCCGCGGAACCCGGGCAGAACCACCGCAGAGGCACGGTTTCGGAGCTCCGCGCGAGTTCCCTGCCTCGGCGTTGGGCCCCTCCGGCGGCGCCCCCCGGCGCCGCCGCGCTCCACGCGCCAGGGAGGGAGGTCCGCGCGGGTCCGAGAAAATTTGCGCGGACCTCTGAGAGTTTACGCTTGTGGAGTTGTTTGTTCCATTCATAAGGATCGGGGGCGGAAAAGAGGGGGGTGATGACTAGCGGGGGTTTGATATCATGGCGGGGGCCTTGATGTTTCCCCAGATCTCGTGGCGCCTCTTCCTATTTCATGACGTCCCTGGCCCCCCCGCTGGGCCGCGCACATGCCGCCGGCCATGATTTGCACCCCCCCCTCTTGGACCCCCCCCTTCTTGGCCGCTCCCGAAGAATCACCGCAGAGGCACGGTTTCGGAGCTCCGCGCGAGCTCCCTGCCTCGTCGCTGGGCCCCTCCGGCGGCGCCCACCGGCGCCGCCGCGCTCCACGCGCCGGGGAGGGAGGTCCGCGCGGGCCCAAGAAAATTTGCGCGGACCTCTGAGAGTTTACGCCTGTGGATCACTAACTCAAAACAGACGCCCAATCCCAAACACGCGGGGGCCAAGACAAAACGCAGACGCCTCGAGACTTCGGGGAGGGAGATTTGGGGGTAGGGTTTTACCAGGGTGACGACGACGAGCGCAAAACATACCTCGAAATCTTTGGCCGATCTTCGACACTTCGGCGAATCCGCGATTTTGGGATTGGGGATGTGTTTTTTCGTGGTCAGTGGAAGTTTTTGTTCCATTCATAAGTGCCCATGGATGAGAAGCCGGTCCTGGGGAAGGGGTGAAGACTCAGCGGCACCGTGAACGGGGGGCAAGATCCTTTCATTTCTCATTGTTCTATCCTGGGCCTCTTCCTGGCCACTAGTGGCCACTAGGGGGCCAGGAACAATTTGAAACGAGCACAATTTGAAATGAGCTCGATTAGACATGAACGATGTGTTATTTCTGGCAAGCCCCTGTGCGTGTTTTTTCCACGGGTGCTCCTGCATCCTTGCTTCCCATGAGGCCACCTTGACCCTCAGGCATGTGGCATGGGCTTCTGCTTTTGCGGCCTAGGGTCAAGTCGGGCCTGTCCCCCTACAGGAGGCAGGTTCAAAAATAGTCAAACAAATGATACGGGGATTATTTGTTGATTCTGTTTTGCCTATTTGGCGATATTTTTGAGTATCGTTTTATTTCTCGCCCAAAATCCGCCTGTAGGGGGACATGCCCCGATCTAATCCTGGGCTTAGTGGGCCCCGGAAACGACAGGGCCGTTTTTGTTACCGGTTCCGTTTTGCCGTTTTTTTGCCGGGTCCAACGCCGTTTTTTTACCGGTTCCGTCGCCGTTTTTTGACTGGTTCCAGCTCCGGTTCCAATCCTGGAGCCGTTTTTTTGCCGTTTCCGGTCGCCTGTTTTTTGCCGTTTCCAATTTCAAGGGGCAGTTTTGGGGAAACGGTGAACAAACCTGCCTTCCAGTTTCCGGGGCCCACTAAGATCCTGGGGCCGTGCGTCCTCACCGCGCAGCCCCGTGGTCGGGCCGCGCTGTGCACCGCTCCGCTCCGCTCCGTGCCGGCCTCCCTGCCCAGCTGCGGGGGGCGCCTGGCCCGCCCACGCGGCGACAACAGGAGGTCGGCCGCGCGAGTGAGTGATCGAGTGTCAGGCGATCCCATCGCCTCTCCCTCCCCTCTCCCTCTCCCCTCCTCTCCCTCTCCCCTCCTCCTCTCCCTCCCCATCCCTCCCTCCCCTCCCCTCTCCCCTCCCCTCCCCTCCTCTCCTCTCTCCCTCCCTCTCCTCTCTCCTCCCTCCCTCTCCCTCCCTCCCCTCCTCTCCCCTCCCTCTCCTCTCCTCTCCCCTCCCTCCCCTCTCCCCTCTCCCTTTCCCTCCTCTCCCCTCTCCCTCTCCCTTTCCGCTCAGGCGATAGCAAAAATGGGTGAAGGGGGCGTGGATTAGCGACGGGTTCCGTTTCCATGTGAAATCGCGGATTCGCGCCGCCGAGCGAGGCGACTCCGGCCGCATGTTGGGGAGGGCACCTCCCCCGATCTATGGATTTGGCGACCGCGCGCCAAGTCCACGGATCGCTGATCCATGTTTGCGCGCGCCCGAGAGTGTGCGAGTAGCTTGGTGGATGAGCGAGTGGTTTGGCGACGTATCCAGACTAAGCGAACGAACCCACCAAGGCTCATCGGCGTACTCGGGGCCTCTCTCTACTCTGGGGCAACCACAATGTTTAGCGAATATCCCCAGGCATCATCATCATCATCATCATCATCATCATCATCATCATCATCATCATCATCATCCTCATCATCATAATCATCCTCATCATCATTGTCATCATCATCAGCATCATCATCAGCATCACCACCATAACCATTATCATCATCCTTACCAGCATTACCATTCGCATCAGCATCAGCATCGTCATCATGACATCATCATCAGCGTCAGCACCATCAGCATCAGCACTACCATCATCAGCATCAGCATCATCATCAGCATCAGCATCATCAGCATCACCATCATAATCATTTGTATGTTTCTCCTTCCTCTATTCTTCACACATCATCATCATCAGCAACCCCATGTGTTCTCCCCCCTCCCCTCTGCTCTGTCCTTTTGCTCGTCTGCTGTCCCCGTTCCCCTCGTCGTTTTCCCCCCGCTTCCCCGTATTTCCTGCCTCGGAGGCCATTGCACAGGTGCCGGGAGTGAGTCTGGTGGTCTTGGTCCCGCTTTCCATGACTGATCAAGTATTTGCACGTGGGGATGGGCCCTGGCAGCTGTGAGATTTGGACGTTGAAGTCCACAGGGCAGACATCTGGCCACGACCTCCTTGGGCCGATGCGTCCCATCGGGAGAGGGATTTGGGAGCTTATATCCCGTGTGCTGCACTAGGACATTGATGCTTCGGGGAAGCACCGGGACCACGGGCTGACTTTGAGATCTTCTGCGGCCGGGCCTTGCCGAGAGTAGTCGAGGGGTCGGGTTGGGGGGGGTGCTACTGACACATGTTGATCTGTTGGCTTGTTACTAAACTGTTCTATTATATAGACCCTTAGTGAAGGTGTGTTTTGAGCCAGTAGGAGGCTGACGCGGTCTGGCACAATGTCCTTCAACGGCTCGTCTGCCTGCGTGTTCTGTCGGAGAGGTGTGCGCGGCACGCGGGCGAGAGTAGCGCTGGAGGTTTCAGCGGCCGATGCGACTGTGCAAATGCAGCGTCGCTGGAGTGTAGACTTAAGTCGGGCGTGCCCCTCTACAGGAGGAATACAAAAAATAGTCAGAACATAGCATTGGGACGATGTTTTGAATATTTTTGAGCATTGTTGGGGTATTTTCGGATTATATTTAATTATTCGTCCAAGCTCCGCCTGCAGGGGGGCATGCACCCTACGTGTAGACCCGGGCAGCGCTTTTTCTATTTGGGTTGACGTCGGTGCTTTCACATGGCGCGCCGTGTATGACAGATTCAACGTAGCATCGCCCATCGTAATCATCCGTGTCGGTGTCATATTGGTTCGAGTGAGCTGGATCAGCTCGCGGAGAGGGGACCATGGTGCTGATTGAGGAGATAGAGGAGACACCACCGACCAAGCAAGGTTGCGCTTACTGCAGCGAGCCAGGGAGCTCGAAAGTTTGTTCTTTATGCCGAGAGGTATCGTATTGCTCCAAGGGTTGCCAACAGGTTCATTGGAAGGTGCACCGCAAGGAGTGCACCAGAAAGTATGAGCCTAAACCAAAGGACCCGCCGAAGATCGAGAACCCGTGCGTCCGCTGTGGGAAGCAGGTGATGGGGCACGTCTAAATAATTCAGAAGATCGCTTGCTTCAGCGACCAGAAGGGAAGGGCGAGAAGTTGCATGGGGTGTTTGTCCAGCAGTATGCGCCAGCCTCAAGATTTTCGGATCAACGTGTGCGCCAGTGCAAGGACCAGTAAGCTCACACGACAGATGGACCTCCACTGTGTCCACGGCAGGTGCGATTCATGTCCACTTGGCGGCGACTTCGCCACCAGCGTTCAAGGCTGACAGCCGTCAGTGGCCCAGAAGTGTTCGACATGGGACAGGCGATCGAATAGCCGCTGAGCCACGCGGTGTCGGACACCGACCCGCAGGTCGTCATGGCACAGTCCCGCCGTCGCGACATTCAATTCTTCCCGCCGGCATGCCTCGGTCGTGGACCGGACGCCGTCGGCATGCCTCGTGGATTGGCCGCGGGGGCCTCTTGGGGGTAACTGTCCTCGGAGTCCTCGTTGGGGCCTCTTGTAGGCATCATGGAAGCTTGTGGGAGGCCTCTTGGGAGTCTCTCGAGGCCTCCTTGGAGGGCCTTCTGGCGATCCGGGGCACTTTTTGGCGAGCTCGGGGTGGGGGGCCGGGCTTGCTGGGCGGGGAGAGCGGGTCGATTCCTGGGCCTTTTCGAGTTCCACGTTCTGGGGCCCTCCTGTCGACCCTCTTTGAGGCCCCCTTGAGCCTCTCTTGGGAGCTCGGCGGCCGTCTTGGAGCTACAAAGTCGGAGACGCCTACGGCGAGTCACCAACTCGTCGTCGTCACCGCCCCCAGCCGTCGACATCAGCATCATCATGTTTATCGTCGTTGACGCCGCTCTCGGCGTCAGAGCCACCATCATAATCATAACCATCCTTCTCCGCCTCATCACCATCGTCAGCATCCTCCTCATCACCATCTGCATTACAAACGCCTTTCTGGTTATGACACCAGTTAAATATTGCCAACAAGCTGCTGGTGGATGAGTGGGTATACGCTCGATCACGGGAGATAGTTGGAGTTCACGACGGCAACATCGGAAAACGTTCATTCTCGGATCTGACAGGAACACAGAGACTATCCCCCCAGAGTTATCAGTTACCAGTGGGACAGTACAATTTATCAGAGTCCCAGTTATCAGTTACCAGTGGGGCCCTTACCACGCGCGCGCTTCGCGCGCGCTTAGGTTCTAGTCGACTCCGAACACGGTGTCAATTTCCATGGGACCTTTTCCATGAGGTCTTCCGGGTTCCTCCCTTTCACCCATGCGCGATTTTCGGGCGGATATTGCGAAGTTCAAGGAAGGGTTTGTCCTGTAGCGTACCAGCGACGACCGACGACGACGACGACGACGACGGACCACCGAAGATCAGCATCAATGTCACCTGATCCACGTGTGCAGGAGAGGCGTTTCCGGAGCGTCTTGCGGGCGTCATGGGGGCGTCCTCAGGCCTCGACAATGGGTGGGCGGGTCGGGGGGTGCAGCCAGGGCCACGTGTTCCGAAGGGCTATTCTGGAGCATGGAGGACGAAGGGCTTCTGGCGGGCTTCTGAGGGTCTGTGTAGAGGCCTCCTGCGAGCTCGGTGGGGGTTTCCCGGGAGCTTCTCGGGTCTTTCTGGAGCCTTTTCGGTGGCTTTTTGGGACGTCGTGGAGGCCTCCTGGGAGTCTCTTGGGGCCTCCTGGGGGGCCTCTTGGGGCAGAGGGCGCCTCTGTTCGGGCATTTGGGGGGCTCTCCGGAGCTTCCTGGGAATATCTTGGGCCAGCTTGGGAGCCTCTAGGCGGGTCCGGGGCCCCTTCTGAACCCTCTTGGAGCTTTCCGGCCCCCCCAGCCCCCCACGCGAACCAGAGGTCGCAGTTCTGGGCCCATCCCGCAACCGTGTCTGGGTTGTGGGTGAGAGGCTTCTCGGATGTTCGCTGGGATGATATCGTGGGATGCCTCTCGGGGGGCCTTTTAGAAGCAGGTTCGAAGCCTCCACGAGGGCGTTGTGGAGCTTGTCGGACCTCTCTTAAGCATCTCTGGGGCCTTTTGGGAGCCTCTTGGAGCCACTTGGGTGCCTCTTGGGGCCTCCTGGGAGTGTCTGGGGGCGGGAAATTCGAAAGGTCGGTTCGCGTTCCCTCTCTTGGGCCCATCTTGGAGCCGTCTTCAGGCCCTCTTCAGGCCCTCTTGGGCCACCTTAAGGGCCTCTTGGGCCGATCATACGGCCCTCTTGGGCCGTCTTGGGGGCCTCTTGGGGGCCTCTTGGGGCGACGTTGGAGGCTTCTTGGGCAGTCTTGGAGTGTCGGCCGCTCGAAAACGTGAGAAGCAACAAATATCGGAAGCACACAATGGAAATCAATGATTTTGGCGTCTTGGTGCTCTCTTGGAGGTCCTCGCGGAGCGACCTTGGGGCATCTTGGGGGCCTCTTGGACCGGCCACTGAGCCATTCTGGGCGGCTTGGAACGCTCTTGGGCCGTCTTGGCGGCTTCTTGTCGTTTCCAGAAGCCTAGGTGGACGCCTCGGGGAAGCGGAAAAAGTTCCGGGACTCCGAAAACGGGCCACTGGATGTCCCAAAAAAGGCACCCGCAGCCCAGGGGGCAAATTCGGTTACGGGGGTGGGTGGGAGTTGGGGAAAAGTATGCGACCCTGGGCCGCGGGGCCCCGGACGCCGCTTATGTGTATATATATATATATATACATATACATATATGTGTGGGTGTGCGTGCAAACATAGATATATGAGTTCACACCATCCCATGGAGTCCCCGTATCGACTCCCTCCCTCATCCTTGCCAACCGCTGTTATGCGCGCGCACTCCTTCATCACGAATCATCAGTTTCCAAGAACCCCTTGCAACACATTGGGCGAAGTCCACACGCGCGCGTCGTCGCGCGCGCATGTCCTACTCCTTCCAGAACCGAAAGTGTAAGACACCAGTTGTGTTCTAACATTTGCTTCAAACAAATCAGCGTGCGCATGCTTGCGATTTCACATGGCAACTTGCTAGGTTGTTCAGCATTTTCGCAACATGAGGCGTCGCGGGTTTCTCGAGCGCGCATTTCGAATTCATTCGAACGCCCTTGCGCGGTTGCTTGAGGGGCACGATCCTGTCAAATCATACCACGCGGGTCACGCCCGCGCGTCGGCCGCGCGCGCATGCCGAAGTCCCCCAAAACCTTCATCAGGACACGTGCACGTCATTATCATCATCGCCGTGTTCAGCACGGGCGCGGTCATTGGCCTTGCCGCCATCATCGCCATCATCTTCACCATCATCGCCACTATCATCATCGTTTCCGCCGTGATCGACGTCACCATGGTACTGCGCCCTCCCGAGTCACCGACCCGCGCTGAATCGTCCGCGCGCCATCGCGGCCTGTGAGACGCATTGGGAAGTCGCCACCAGTCAACGCCAACAGTCGCGCCGGTTGTGCAAAACTAGCTGTGCACGATGCGCGAGAGTGTGTGCGCTTGCGCGGCTTTAGAAATGCTCCAGCCAGCGCCAAGCAGTCGTCGCAATCGCCGCCTCACGGGTTTTGCAAGCCAAGTTGCGAATGGGTGTGTGGGATGATTGTGCCAGAGAGCATTGGAGTTGACAGTTGCAAGCTCTCCATATTCTTCTGCACCACATAGATAGTATCAAATATATTTCACATCGAGGGTACCAGATCCCTTTGTTCGGGGCACACGCTGGCAATCATACAACATTCAGCACCTGAAGCGCATGTGGGACCTGAGGACACTCTTCAGCGCCATCGGGACCGTGGCGGATAAGGGTTTGCGTATGGGTGCTGATTTTTGGATCGAGCTTCCGTGGTTCTCACGTCCGCTGAAATTGTTTGTTTTCTGGAAGGCCCCAGAAGACAATTGCAAGTGGTTCGGGCTTCTTCTAAGCAGGTTCTGTGCGTTGGGGCAGAGGTGGCTGTGCTCCTACCGTAAATCGTGCGGGAGCCGAGACGCCATTGGTTTAGCAGACCCCCTTCTACAGTAGCCGAAGACGCCCGCAACAAACCGGCTGTCGATAGCAGCTTGCTTGCCTTGGCCACAATGTTGCCACGCGTCAGCGTCAGCCGGCGTCAGAGTGAAATTGTTCTCTATAAGGACGCCGGGGCCTCTCAACAGATGTCACAATTTGGAAGGCCCCACGCTTACCTCTGCGAAGTCCGCTGCCGATTGCTCACCTATGCTCTGGAAGGGCCTCCCCTCCTCAGTTGACCTACCCGAACAACTTAGTGCAGCAAGTGCAGCGTGTGCCTAGAATGAGGGACTGTCTTCCCAGCAGGAGTATATCGCAAGCGTTCTGAACTGCAACGCAGTGCGGCACTCAGGACGCCGAAGACGACCAGACGGTGTGTCCTCAGCATTAGTATCGTGCATTGTCCTGTCGTTGGCGTTGGGTGTACGGCAGCTGCAAAAATCAGCAAACGACCGATGGATGCAGGTTTTTTGAGTCACGCGGTGTCTAATTATCTTTCGCACCGCCCTCGAAGGTACGAGGGGAGGGGTATGGAGGGAGAAGGGGGGGGGAAATCGATTTGCACAATTGAAGCATCCTTCAAGCAGTGGCGAAGCGTCCCGGCTCGCCTATAGCCCTACCAAACAATGTTCTAAGAACCCATTGGAGTTCCCACGGAATGTCCTCGAACATTTCTGGCTGGGGCTGTCTTGATTTAGCACATCGGGTTCACGTTCGAAAAACAGTGTTTTTGTTCTAAGAACATTTTTGGGGTTCTCAGAACATTTCGTGGTAGGACTATAGGAATGCCGGGACGGTCGGTCCCTGCTCAAATCCTGCGGCCCGCGGCAGGGTATTTTGGAGAGCAGTGGGAGTTGGTATTGCTCACATGACTGCTGCAGCGGCAACGTGAATGACCTGACCGCCAAGATTAAACAGTTAAACGCCCAGAGAGTGGAGCACGAGGCGAGGCAGAACCGCGAGGCGAAGGAGAGCGAAGCGGCAAAGGAGTTTTCCCGCATTAAGGATTTCATCGCCTCGTCGTGCTCTTCTCCTGCGCCGAGCGTCAAGCCTGTGGAGGAGCTCCGGCCCCAGGCGAATGACCCCAACGAGCACATCAGGAGACTGATCGAGAGTCAGAACAAGAGGGCGGGCGGCGCCTACGAGCCGCCGCCTCGGCCGGAGGACGAGGCTGGCCCGGTGTGCTTCCCTTCTTCCTTCTCGTCCTCCTCCTCGTCTCGCCTGCCCTGCGCCGCCTGCCTCTTGCCGCTGCTGGCCGCCGCTCCTCCCCCTTTCCCGCTGGGCCCCACCGGCGCCTTCCTGGCGCCGCGCGTGCGGAGCCGCAGAGTGCTGCTTTGCCGATCTCTTCCATGCAGGGGCCTTCGCCGCCCCCTCCGCCGCGCCTTCCTGGCGCCGCACTCGCGGAGCCGAGACCGAGTCCGAGCCCTCCCGTCCCAGGTCCCCTTCTCACAAGTCCCCGCGGGCCTCCCCTTCCCGTCCAGAGGCCACCCCCCCTTGACGGACCAGCACCCCATGGGCCCTTAGGAGGAGGCAAAGGAGGAGGGAGAGGAGGAGGAGGAGGAGGAGGAGGAGGAGGAGGAGGAGGAGGAGGAGCAGGAGGAGGAGGAGGAGGGAGGAGGAGCAGGAGGAGGAGGAAGGAGGAGGAGCAGGAGGAGGAGGAGGAGCAGGAGGAGCAGGAGGAGGGGGGAGGAGGGAGGGGAGGAGGAGGAGGAGGGAGGAGGAGGAGGAGGAGGAGAGGAGGAGGAGGAGCAGGAAAGGAGGAGGACGGAGGACGGACAGGAGGGGGGGGACGGATGGAGGGTACAGAGGAGTGAGGATGCAACAGAGTGTCGAGGAGTCAAGAGGGCATGGACGGAGGCAGGGTAGGAGTAGGAGGAGAAGGAGGAGGACAAGGAGGCGGTTTAGGCGGCGGAGGAGGAGGAGAAAGAGGAGGCCGAGGAGAAGGAGGAGGAGGAGGAGGAGGGGGAGGAGGAGGTCCTGGGGTTCCCGTCGCCGCCGTGTCGGCCGCTCCCCCCTCCCGCCTCGCGGCAAGCGAACTCGCAGCATGGGCGTGGGGGGGCATTGCGCAGGGGCCCGCTCGCCCCCAGGAGTGCGGGGATGTGCCTCGAGCGGCGTGCCTGCCGGACTCCTCCGAGGGGCTCGCGTGCTTTCGGAGCAGGTCGTGGTCGTTTTGGTCTTGCTCGGACGTGTGCGTTCGTTGCTCGGCGAGGATCTCGGGTTGACCCAAAAGGGGGTCCAGCGACAAGGGGGTGGTGCAATAGATTTGGTGCAATAGATTTGTGGGGTTGCAATACATTTGGGGCGTGCAATACATTCCGGGGCGCAAATGTATTGCTGGCTTTTCGCGTGCAATACATTATTTGCAACACATTTGCAATACAATTGCCCCAAA